TGGACCACCATCAGCTCCTTCTACAACCAGAAATCGTGGCCAAGAATCAGTATGTGGATGAGACTCCTCATCGGAAGATAGTGAAACATCTGGATCAATATGCCGTCTTTTCGTTTTGGAGCGAGAACCAGTCAATTGTAAAGGTAGCCATAATGTAAGAAAGATTATTCAACATCCCTGCTCCTCACCCGCCATCGAGTGTCAACAAGGACAGTGATGTAGTGGAAGCCAACTACAAACACCAAGGCTACAGGAATGCTATACTCCAGCAAAATGGACACAGATAGCTGATTTTGCCAAACAGGGTATAAGTCAGGCTGGTTCTGCCCTAGACAGATCCCTGAAGACAAACAGAACCCGGCGGTCAAAAATGCCAGATTGGCCCATGAGCCACCGCCTTCTGGCATAGGACTCTAGGCATTGTAATATATGAGTAATTCGTACATAGAAAATCGAAATGTCCAAGACCCAGTAACAAAAATGTGCATAAAATAATCACCATGCACAGGGCTTGGCGTGACCAGCCGATTGATAGAACCGGGCCAGTTCTACCACCCGTCTAGGTGAAGTAAGGGGCGAAGTGGTGTGTTGGGCAAGAGGAACACGGTTCCAGGCTCCCAGTGCCCTCAACCACCAGCCTCCCGTCCTCCACCGACACAGGGGCGCAACCCACGGCAAACGGGTTGGTGGACCAAAATATGCCCCCCGGGTCCACAACGGGGGGTTGAAAGGCGCTTAGCGTGACCCAGCACCCACCACGAGGAGGTGGCCTTTCATGGGTGCCAGCACCTGAAGGAAGATCACCATACTAGGGACCATGGAGACTTACAGTACTTTGCTACCTGCATTGACCCTAGCTGGATTTATTCCATCCCTTAACACTATGGCTACGATCAGAGTTAAAGAACAAATAAATTTTGTTTTTTTTGTACACTTTTAACCATTACATATGAAAGATTTGTGGTTAGTCTTATGCGGAACACCACATTCGTTCTTAAAAAAACTTGTTAATTAATACCGAGCGATTAAAAGTTGCCAAAATGTCGCCTGCTTCACTCTCGCCCGCCAATGAAACCACAGACAGGTAACGTAACTCTGTCGCCAGAGCACTGCAGTGACGTCATATGAGGAAGGATTTTCAGTTAGTTGTATATAATGTGGGTAGCAAGCTCGTCATTTTGATGATTTCTCGACATCAACGAAGACATGCCGATTCGTTGCGTTGTCGTCAGTTGCTCCTAGGGTTGAGCGATGGTGTCACCATGCACAGATTTCCACAGGACCCCGCAGTCCGTGCTAAATGGGTTATGTTTGTGAGTGCGAAGCAAGCGTTGTGGAAGCCTGAAACGATATCTTACTTGTGTTCAGATCGCTTCACGGAAGTTAAAGAATCAAAACTACTTACTAGTTGTAGTAAAATATGTATATGATTGATGACCATGCAGATTTTCCATGACACAACTTGTAACATAACGATTTCTTCCTCGGAAGCGAGGTTGTGAAGTAACAATACTATTGTAAGTAGTATTATATTGACACCCACCTCGCTTCCACGAGAGAAATTGTTATGTTATAAGCTATGTCGTGCAAATCCTATGGGCCATCAATCGAATACATAATTTACTACCAGTAGAAAGTCGTTTTGATTTTGTAACTCGGTGAAAACAAACCTAAATAGCATTTATTCTCAGACTGGCGGATGTTCGCGACAGGGCGCCGCCATTTTTGAAAATCGTAAAGTCATGGGCTAAAGTCTGTTAGAATTTATGAGATTATGGTTTGTTTTCATCAAGTTAGAAAATCAAAACTACTTTCTACTCGTAGCTACATATATTAGAATCATGACCAAAAGTATTTTGCATGACACAACTTGTAACATAACGATTTCTTCCACGGAAGCGAGGTGGGGGTCGAAGAGACAATACTGGTCTTCTAATCCTAATAAGTTTATTATCATACTTGTATGCAATTCGAAACTAAATAAAAAGCAGACGATATGCTGATACTTATAGTGCATGTATAACAGGATTGTAATATCTAGACATTTTATAGTTTGCCAATGTGAATCATAATTCGCACACACGACCTAGTGTATATGTCTGTCTCAATACACTTCACGGCGAAAACAATGATTCTTTTGAATGCTACGACAAATGAATAAAAACAAAAAAAATTAATGCCAATATTAAAATTAAAACAGATTAAAGTTATCGGAACAATATATGTCAGGCTATTACCTTGTTCGAGGAATGTAACCATCAATATCCACAAAAACAAGTGATATGACATTCATCTGCAGCTGCTCCAAGTGATGTGTCTTTTAACAGTCTTATATACGAAAGAGTGATATATCGTTTCAGGTATTTCACATCGGTGTATAGTCTCATTGGTCACCCAAGATAGCACACATGGCAACTAATTGCATAATGTACGCCATTCTTTTAAAAAAAGTAATTTAGACAGCTAATAATGAACAATCAATCAACGTATTGGCGGTTAATCCTTTGAAAGAAGGACGTTGTTTTTACACAGACACAGACACGACAGAGTGAATTCAGCATAGATTAGTAAATCTACATACATAAACACTACCTTTTGACAAACCGCTGTGCAAGATAAAAGTAATTAATCAATCAGCGTGTTATCGGTTAACTCTTTGATCGATGTTTATAATGTTGAGTATTTACTCCAGACACAAGAAATGCCAAATGGGAACCTTTGTCGGGTAATCGAAGTGGTGTTACCACTAATTATACCTGTTATAATTTCATTAACTGACCATCAAATGAATGATGACAAATAACGTGTAGGTTTATACCACCTAACACGGGTTACAACAAGGGATCGAGTAATAATTTTTGCATTGCATAAGGGCCGACACTGTTTTGAAAATACGAGCAAAACTTCATTGTTGCATAAGAAATACATACATGCCTTTGCTGTGTGCTAAAACTGTATGTACCTATTTACCTAAGTTCAGATTCTTCTAGCAATGGCAAAGTGGGGTTGTTTAGTTTACGGATTCAAAAAAATCGAATGTCAATTTTTAATATCATACGTAATAGACGTTATATTTTTACATGACATGATTAAACAACGAGGTAAAAAAACACAGAAATGGGATCAATTTATATCAGTCATTATACCATCCAGGCATTAGAAAACCTGAAAAAGCCCACACTGCTTTGATACTTTATTACCATCAGACAAGAACTACCGGGCATATTTTCAAATAATTGCATCTGCTGGGCATCCACCCTTCTTAATGTCGCACTGTTTAGGTTGAAGAAATTAACCGTTACCGTGATGAGCGAGGCTGATAATCGTTTTCACTATCACTAGCGTCTGGCTCGAACAAATAAGGCATAGCGACACCCACTCTAAGTAAACTTAGCCTCAGTATTATTTGTTACACTGCTATACTGAGTCTAACAAAACCTTGTGGAAGGTCGCGTCAGGTAACCTTTTCAATTGACCAATCAGAACACAACTTACCAAATCGCGAAAGTTGACATTCGCACATACCTTTTGAACTTTTACCTCGAAAAAGTTTTGTACCCGAACGATTCCGAATGCTATTTTCCGTACGATCGCTTCCGAGTGATGCACATGGAGCACGCCACAACCGTGAGTAAACAGTCGCTGAAAAAAGCGTTTTGTCAGTATTCAAGGATGTCAGCTTGCGGAAATATTAGCTAATGATAACCAAGTCAGCAGAAACCCAAAAGCGTATATTCTGCAGGTCATATATCTGTGTTTTATGCCGGTTTTCATTTGTTGTGAGATCAGTGTTGGCGACCGGGGAAGAGTAAATCCATTTTCTAAGTCCCGCCGGTCCCTAAATAGTAGCCGTTGTCTGATTGGTTAAATCGGTTCTGTCGTCTCGCGTTTGATTGGACGGTCATAAGTCGCTCAAATGTTACCTGACGCGACCTTCCACAAGGTTTTGTTAGACTCAGTATAGCAGTGTAACGAATAATAGTGAGCCTTAGTTTACTTAGACTGAGCGACACCAAGCGATTTTGACAGAATCGTCTATGAAAACAAGTTGTAACTCGGAAACTAGGCAAAGCAGGAGACAAAAATGACAGTAGATTGTAAGAACATATAGCTTTCAGTTTTCACAACAGTTGTCACGATTTCAGGTTTATACAAACCTGTAAACAAGATAATTTACCCCCTGAAATAAACATGAATTCTCATATCTATTTATCATATGACGTCACAGAGACGCGCCGCTCTGATTGGTTGAAATTTCGTTCGCGGGTGAGAATTGTGCACTGTTGTTAAAAAGGTCGATTTAAGTTAATTAAAGATCGAAATGAGTAGTTTTAATGACGGTGTTTCATTTATAACGATGCAAATTAGTGATTTATGTGTTTGTAGCCCCCTAGAGTATATGTGATCTTTAAGAATTCTTAGGGCTACGAACGTTCCGTAACATCAACACTGGAAGTGAGTGAAAGTATGCAAAGCTTTATTCGTTGAGCCTGGTTTCGACATATCGATTCTGTACCCTTGACGTTGATCTGTGACGCCCTGAACAGCGTCGAATTGTGTGTATCTGTACTAGAGTCAGATAATCAAAGACTGTGAAACGTGGAACGTATTGGCTAACTTCTATGTCATGCAGCATGCCAGTAGCCTGACGACGCTCCGCGCGTTGTAGACGCCACAAGCAATGAGTGAAATCAAGGAAATACCAATTGTATCATGAACCAAATCAATAACTATGAGACATAATGTTCCCGAGCAATTCATCAACCTTACTTGTAAGTGCCAATATGAGGATTGATACCCACTGATTGATACGCATGTGCCTCTATTGCGTGCAACAAGAGCAAAATATCGCATGTGTTTTTGGTGTAACAGGTATACACTTTCCTTTACGTCAACTCATCTTTGTTACAAATAACTTTCACATTCACATCCTCTCAATATTGTTTCCTCCATTAAGATGTACATAAAGCTCAATTTCACCTAATGTGGCATTTTTACAGTTGATGCCACCATCAGCAATGTAGCTTTAGGCAAGCCCGTCTACAACAGCACCAATTACCCACTATATTCCCAACCGTCTCAAGCTGTTGACGGAAACACTGACAGCAACTGGCCACAGGGAAGTTGTTTTGGGACAGGTGATGATGACCAGCCATGGTGGATGGTTGACCTTCTCAGCACCTACACTATTGGTAACATCACCATCTACAACAGAGGAGATTGCTGTTGTACGTATACATCCAGTTAATTTAGATAAAGATTATAGGTACCATTGAACCACAGTTCACTTATACCTACATCATAACTGGTGTGTGTGTGTGTGTGTGTGTGTGTGTGTGTGTGTGTGTGTGTGTGTGTGTGTGTGTGTGTGTGATATCATCCCATTATCACCTTGACCATGGTACTTGAATTTGTTTTCAGACCCGTGCTTGTGGAATTTAGACGTAGACAATCCTGTCCTCACATAGGTATCTGCCTTGGAGTAACATAATGGAACGTTCAAAGATGAATATCCCCCACTCAAGTTCATAGTTAGCAGATCGCCTCTTTGCTGTATGTCACTATCGATTTTGTACTTGGATGAGATTGATGACACTCACTGTATTATACAGTGACCTGCGGTTAAAACGAATAAAATGGAACCACCTTGTTTACAGATAATGCCAAAAATCCGCCTCCGTATACGTATTTTAACTAAACTATACAGAGTGTGACTCGTATTTATATATTAATTGTGTTCCAGCCGAACGCCTCCATGACGTCACAGTGGAGGTTTTCTCTGTCAACCCAGCACGATGTCCAACAGCTACTGCGACTTTATGTAAAGAGCTCCCTGGACAACTGGCTCTGGTCACCCACATAACCTGTGATCATGACGTTGTTGGCAGGTTCGTCAGAATCCGGAAAGAAACTGTCGACCAGAATGACAACATGATGTTTTGTGAAATTGAGATAACTGGGACTTCTCTTCATTCAGGTAGACATTTCTTTGATTTTACTTCGGAGTCTTTAATGATTTTCTGTGATCCATTCGTTTATGTTCTCAGCTATTGGTTTCTGAGGATAGATAAAACTTGGTTTTCTTTTGTTCTGACGTTTTATGATTAATGCTCCGTAGTAACAATAGCATCTCCTCGATAGTCAAAATATTCACTGTTAATTGCTTGCAGAGTTTAAAACCTCTTCATTTCAATAATTAAAACATTTGAATAACTATTCCTATCAAACTGAAAACCGAGTTGAAAGAAAATTCCATGCATTTGACAGATTATTTTAAAACATCTTTTCACAAACAGGAAGAGCTAAGAATATGGCATTTTACATTAACTACAATTTACGGATATGTCGAGTTGTATCGTGCTATGTACTATCCATGTGAATAAAAGAAACTTTATTGTTTGAAAACAGTAAATGAAATTACATTTCTGAAAATGATAATTATGAGAAAATACATTCTGCAGTTAAAAAAAACATCAAAACGCTCCAACCCCTGCAGTAAATCACCGTTGTGTCGAACTTATTCTTGTTTCGAAGAAACAGCTTGGTACCTTTATAAAACTTTCCTTTTTTCTTGTATTGTTTTCGACTGTCGAAGTATACTCTTCAACGAATGTAACGCAAAAACGAACATTTCCTTATAAATTTAGATATGTGGAAACTCAGTGTTACGAATGCTGAATACTAGTATCTTGTTTTATGGATCATACAAAATGCATTTAAATCGTAATGATCGTTTGGAAATAGATGACTTTGTATACAGATGGGTAACAGTAAAAAATCGCAAAAAGGCATAGTATGCACGTACTAAAGGCCCAACAAGCACTATAAAAGTGCCGGGTTCTCGATTCTGCTTCACTTCGGTTAAAACTCTACATATATTTCATAATGGCAAGACTGAAGGAAGATCAGAGAAACAACGCCATCGGACGATTGCAAGCAGGCGACACCAGATCAGAGGTTTTTTAAGGTCTCCCCAGCGCCATATCGAGGCTGTGGAACCCTACTAGCAGCAGGGATCAACACGTGACCTTCCCAGATCCCCTAGACCACGTGTCACCACTCCTACTCCGGTTACGCCACCTACACCAAAGGTCGACAACTGCCGCATCCACTGCATCCTCAGTAACGGGGCATCGCAGGATCTCAGACCAGACAGTCCGGAACCGACTAAGAGAGGCATGGTTGCAACCAAGACGTCCTGTTAGAGGCCTGATTTTGTCCACGCAGCATCGCAAGCTACGACTGCAATGGTGTCGAGCGCACAGGGTATGGACTCAGCGACGATGGAGACTCAGCGATTTATCCCGAGTCATGCTTTGCAGACTGAATGGAAGGGCCCATGTCTACCACCGAAGAGGTGAAAGCTTCGCAGCAAATTGCATACAAGAAAAGGAAAGATTTGGTGTAGAAAGTGTCCTGATGTGGGCAGCCATCTTTCACAACGCCAGGACAGACGTGGTGCACATTTGGGGGAACTTGACAGCACAGCGCTATGTCGTTGAGATCTTGCGTCAACCCTGTTTTCCAGGGGCTCCTTTCACGAAGTAACCTTTACCAAGGTTAACCTTAACTCCCATTCTTTAACATTGCACTAAAGTTACCTTAGTGACTTACGATCATCTGAGTGCTTTGTGAAAGGAGGCCCAGCAGGACAATGACCGTCCTCGTACAACGCGCATCACCACAGCCTTCTTAGCAAGCAACAATGGTCTTCCAGATCCTCGGATTTAAACCCAATTGAGCTTCTTTGGGATGAATTAGATAGATGCCTGCGACGGCGACAACTGCAACCTCAGACACTACAACAGCTGGCTACCGCTTTGGCGTATGAGTGGCCTAATTCCCCAGGCTGTCATCCGCAATCTGATAGCGTCTATGGGCAGGAGGTGCCAGGCAGTCACAAACCTTACTAACTGTATGTGATGTCTAATGTGACGTTGGGTCATTCGATGACTGTTGCCAAAGCCTCGGTTAATGTTGTTTACCTGTGCAAAATTTCAAATTTCTTTCATTTTTAATTCATGTAGCAAATGTCTTTGAAACATCCAATGCAAAATAGATTTTGCGTTACTTTTTTTAAAGAGTATATTTCGGTCGGTTCTTTCAACTTCGGTTGACTGTAATTTACTTTTCCAATGATCAATTTACAAGCATAGTGATCTTTTTATCATTGAACGCACTTAGCGTAATGTATCTGATGATTGTGTATCTTCGAAATGACACATCGGGCTAAAAGGTTGGACCAATACAATACAAACATCTTCAATGCAAATATAGTATTCAACCCAAGAAAGCGTCATGTAAATAATGTTAATGTGCACTATCGATCAGATTTGCCTGTCGTTTCCAGAGAAGAAAGCCAAGATTATAGATTGAGATGACATAAATGCTTTTTGCTGGAGTTTGCCAATGTTTCGCGGCAACCAAACGACATATAGCAGCTGCATGTCCCTCATCATGGGCACACTTAATCTCAAATGTTAGACTGAACTAACATTTCAGTGTAAAGTGTACAATAAAAATGACAATACTCCCCAAACAAAACTATGATTCTAATGTTCAAAGGTTGGTGTTTTCTTCCTTCTCATCCATTAGCATTAACAAAACTGATTTTGCCTTCCGTTTTCTACCCGGGAAAATCCTGACAGGCGGCATTGATCATTCGTGGAGTCGGGTCTCAGTGATATAATGTTCGTTACAGTCCACATCGGCAGCTGAAGGCCCCGCCCCCAAATAGTTTTGATTCTGATTATTTAGCACGTGGTTTCATTTTGACATTTAAATGCTTTCTAAATTAATTAAACATTTTTTTCTTGGGAATTCAGTTGGTTGGTCGGTTGGTTTTTTAACGCTGCACTCGGCAATATTTCTACATTTTTTCTTCTGAGAATTAAAGGTCATATGCAACCAAAACATCAAACATAATTAAAACACAATTATCACTTATTCATGACATATAATATACATTGCTGGTTACGAAAAAATATATAAACAAAATTAAAAGCGTACAATCGCAAATCGAAAGTGCAAAACTGTGTACTTCGGTTTACTTCCCAAGAAACGAAGCAGCCGGGATACCGAACCCAGTCAGAGCGGGTGGGTGTGCACTCAAGTGTAACGGCTGGTTCATTTGCAGATGCCTTCACGGCTAATTGTGTGTATATATATATAGAGATGTTGGGTTTTGTAAATACATGCTCATTTTTTGTGTATGACATTTTGCAATCAACAGACATCATAACATGTCATGTGTTCAAGTATCACACCTGCCTGTCTGTGTAATTACATAATGTGACAGAGACCGAACTCGGGCCATAAATCAATGCATTTTGTTTATGGTGTATAGCCTGATTGGTGTTAAGTTCAAATTGCATGTGGTCAGTGATAGCAGCTGTGTATTGAATATTGTCATTAGCAGACAGGCAGGCAGACACACAGGTGTCAATAAAACAAGACATTGAGTTTTGTCTGTGACAACGACATATCTATATCACAGTTAGAAATTCTGTCAACGCTAAATAATGACATTGCTTCTAAGTATCGAACTGAAAAAGTGTCTCGGTAAGAAGAACGTGTGGTGAAATAGACAAATGAAATTATATAAACAGTTAATTTACTGTCATAACATATAAAAAGCTCGCGTCTGTGAGATATCAACAAAACATTAGACAAATAGCTCACACCAAAGCCTTCACCGAGTATTCACCCGACGACCCGCTTCCAAGCTGCGCGAACCTATTTACTTGCGCACGTGCTATGAGCGCAGCCCAGCTGTTGAAACCCGTTTTCCCCAGAAAAGTCTGGGGAAAATTAGTGAAACGTTTGAACTCCGACTTCGGGCGGTTTTTTTCATCGCGTTATTTTTCAACTTTATAAGTTGAATTTGCATTTTGACGATTTGTTTCGGTATGTCCATACCGAAAGTTTTACGTTGCATGTGACCTTTAATTTGGTTGGTTGGTTGCACTCAGCAATATTCCAGCTATACTTCTAAATTCTGTAAATAATGGAGTCTGGACCAGACATTCCAGTGATTAACACCATCGATCTATGCAATTGGGTTACGATGACATGCGTCAACCAAATCAGTGATTTTGACCACTAGATCCCGTTAGCGGGTCTCTTGGGAATTGAGTTACTACATTTGCAAGCAAATTCAATCAAGTTTTGTGCTTAACTTACACTTTAATGCAAATATCCCTGTCAATGATCATTACCAGCGTTTATGTTGTGTTGCAGTATGTGAACAGACAGTTTTTCCTGCTACCAATGGGCAGCGACTTGAACAGGCTGCTGATGGAAACCCTGTTTCCGCCAACTCTCGGTTAGAATGTGCACGTTGGTGTCATGTCTCGGAGGGATGTGTTGGCGGCAACTTCCGGAAGGAAGACAACACCTGTGAGATTATCGGCTCGCCCAGCAGTAATGGAAGCGTTGTGTCCGGTTCTCAGTGGGACTATTTCGGAAATGATCTGTGCTGATAGCCAAGACGTACCTTAATTATGTGGTGTGGGGACACCCCGGGCCAAAAATGATCGTGCTCTTCAACCATCATTTTCTCACCTGTCGACCACAACCGAGCAGACTGCGATTGTCCACATTGGCAACGTAGCATGAAACTTAACTGTCTGTTTACTGTGAATGTTTCATTAAACTATCAAACCTCAAAATATTTTCTTCCATGTACACTTAACAACTATCAATGTACGGTATCGTGTCTTAATGCCAGTTGTTAACAAATTGTTTTACTTCTAGATGCGTCCTTAACCGGAATATATTTGACGATTATAACGTTTACTGGTTATATTACCATGGAATATAATGCTGGTGCATACTTTAAGTACGGTCGATTATTAAACACAAGATGAGTGAGTGAGTGAGTTTTGCTTTACGCCGCTTTTAGCAATATTCCAGCAATATCACGGCGGGGGACACCAGAAATGGGCTTCACACATTGTACCCATGTAGGGGATTCGAACCCGGGTCTTCGGCGTGACGAGCGGACGCTTTAACCACTAGGCTACCCCACCGCCCCAAACACAAGATGAACTACAAATGATGAAAACACAGCGAACATTAACGAAGTACATTTTGTTCAGAAATTAACAAATAAACCTGCACTATAGGTGCACTGAGGACTACAGAACAAGCTACAACCATACAATAAGATAGGAAACGAATTATCCAATATAAATCCCACTGTAAAACCTGTTGATACATATTGTTTGTCAGCACAGATGTTCTAGAATATAAGATGTTAATATTAATGCCTCAGAGAGATGGAAAGTTCAGTGACATCTCTTTTGCTTAAAGGTGCTTGATAGCATACAGAACTGATAAACATAAGGCTGAGAGTTAATGAATGTTAGGTTCTGTTATATGCAATAAGAACAACTGTCACCTACCCAGATTGATCAAACAATCATTGCCACCATCTCCGGACTGTCTTGTTGCCATCAGCAACAATCATCTCAGGAAAATCTTCACTTCCTTCCCTGTTAGCCTGTCCATCTAGCCTTAAAACGTATCAAGAAAACCGTCAAGACACAAAAATGTCCCATCGCCCTTCAGAATCACCATACCCGACCGAATGTCGCTTTCTGATTGGCTGAGCGCTTTTCTATTATTTTTAATGTACCCCGCTAACAAGCGAGTAACATTTCAATGTACACCGCTGTCGATGGCAACTCATTTGGTACTTTGTGGTAGTAATTCTTTATCTCGAATTACATTGAATCACGCATGAAGTACGGACATTACCAGTGTCTTGCGAATGCAAATCGATGAAAGGGAGATAACTCTAAACCTGTTTTTCTTGTCAGCAAAATAGCGATGGCTACAAAAAGATTTGTACCCGTGCTTCAAACAATTCAAAATTAATATTAAGGTGTTCGGTAAGATAAATACGATGTTCACTGGTCCCTCGTGGCCCATGGGTTGATATACCCTCGATGTTTGTTCGGGCGCAGGGAGCAGCACATTTCCGAGGTGACGTAACGTGACGCAACCCCGAAAATATGCTGCTACACTGACGTCATACACGTATGACGTCACGACGATAGGTCTCGTGACGTCACGACCTACAAACGAAGGTAGTGACGTCACTTGATGGTGACGCAACCTCGAAAATATACTACCACACTGACGTCATACACGTATGACGTGTCACGACGATAGGTCTCGTGACGTCACGACCTACAAACGAAGGTAGTGACGTCACTTGATGGTGACGCAACCTCGAAAATATACTACCACACTGACGTCACGCCCTACAACGACGGTATTGACGTCACGTGGTCATTGAACTGTCACAAATAAGGGTAATGGTCGTTTAGTACGTGTTCGTGCATGTACGTGTGTGTGTGTGTGTGTGTGTGTGCGCGCGCGCATGTGACATCTACTAATGACGTCACACAGACCAAAATGATAACCATAAGAATCCATCCGTCAAGCTAAATTCTCAATTGCTCTCAGACGCGTTTTTACCTCTTAAATGCACCATTAGCGTGCCAATAATATTTGAGTTTTTGAAGGAGGCTAGGGAATCTCGTGCTGTCTATGTAAAGCTCTCTACAATACTAGACCGCAAGAAACACCTAGACACTCTTAATCACACGACCACCCCGTCTGTGTAAAGCTCTCTACAATGCAAGACGGTAAGACGGTGATATTCTACATGAAACAAAATGTGAGGTAGAAAACGGCAAAGCAGCAAGAGTGGTACCGAGTGTTACGTTCTTTACCTCGTATCGTAAACCCAAAGCGGGAATGAATAATAATTTTGAAGGAGGTCTGTAAATGTCGTACTGCCAATGTAAAGCTCTCTACAATACTAGGCAGCAAAACAAATGTAACAAGACACTCAAAAAATAACACACCCTCCAGTTTATGTAAAGCTCTCTACAATACAACACGGGAAGGCGGTTATATTCTACCAAATACAACAAAGAAGATATTGAGTCGGTCAGTCTATGTAAAGCTCTCTACAATACTAGACCGCGCGAGCACCGTATCCCTCGTTGTTTAAACCACCCCAAAATATACCCACGAGGTAGACAACGTCAACACTTTTATATAAAACACAACAGAGACTAGTAAAAAACAACATTTCACAAATTTTATTCGTAAATATGCACAACTACATTTCTACTCACAAAACAGTTGGGAGACCATATTTCCCGTCCACCGACAAGGTGTCTTCGTTTCCAGAGTGCGATGATGGCGATACTTTTCCCTTCTTATTGAAGAAAAGTTTACATCTTTCTCCATCCCTCTGCTCATTATACGATTCGGGAACGTAGCAGCAGGACATCGTGGTACGGAGCACTCAAAATATACAACCTCACTCTCGGGCAGACGGCTTCTAACTAGCTACTGCGTGTCGGTGCTCGTGATACTCTCGTCACCATCAGCGGTTACGTGCGAAAAGAATAGGGGGCGTGACCTAAGGGCGCCTCGTCCTGCCATTGGACGGTAAGGGGTCAAATCCCGGTCCTGGACATAATTATACCTATTACATCAAACACGGGCGTTATCGCCGTGGGTACCTAGCTGCGTAAGCGCTAAAAGCCGGGCTTAACACCTCTTTGTATGGTTGGCTGGTAAAATCGGTTTGCTTCGAGACGGCGGCGTGGGAAAAAAAATCGAGAACATTCCTACAGCTCTATCAATAACCTAATTTTTCCCTCGTCAAAATCCATGGCTCTTAAAGTTCCTGAGTATACTCTTCTTGGTATTATCATGCCATCTGAAAACCATGGAAGCGTATTACTTTTACTGAAATGGTGATCGCAAGCTACCGACGACAGGCTTTGTACACGAACTCTTTTGTAGGAATAATGCAAACGACCGTATTTTGCCACAAAATCGTGAAATTCGGGCCATATTCGTGTGTAATCTATACCGTACGAGTCGTGCATGTGTAATCTACCCGGTTCGCTTTTCCTGTCCGTGTTGCAAATAAACAGTATAGGATATTCCAATCTCTTCACCCCACTACAGTCTATTTATTACCACACACCTTTACCAAAGTAGCTCTGCTACTTATACCGCCATAGTTGTTTTAAGAAAAGGCTCATTACGTCCAAACTGTACGGATAGCTGTTGACGGTATGGTTTGAGAGTGATATGCACCCCAAAGGTCCCGAAGGGTAATTGAGCGTGTCCGCGTTGTAGACATGACCATACACGTCCGACACGCGCAGCAGGAAGACGAAAATCGCCTCTATTATCTTACGCACCATATGTCCTCGGTTTATCGTATATTCCTGCTGATGGGTCTAACCACCCCTTATTACGCAATCGTTTCGACCACCGCGTGTGCCGAAGCCTTCGAAAATAACCCCTACATACATCGTTAATCGGCCTAACTGCTCCAATCGTCCCCTATTATACATGACCGCTAGTGTCCACCCCTTCGTCTCTACACCCTCTCCTTCGAAAATAACCCCTACGTACATCGTTAATTGGCCTAGCTGCTCTAATCGTCCCCTATTATACATGACCGCTAGTGTCCACCCCCGTCGTCTCTACACCCTCTCCTTCGAAAATAACCCCTTACGTACATCGTTAATTGGCCTAACTGCTCTAATCGACCCTTATTATGCACAGTCGTGAGTGTCCACCGCGTCGTCTCTACACATTTTTCCCTTCACATAGACTTACCTACCGTCTCGAAAATAGCCTCTACGTACATCGTCAACAGGGTTAATTGCCCTAATCGTCTCTAATACACAGTCGTGCGTGTCGTCGCCGTCGTCTCACCAGTTTTCCCCAATAAACTCACATGAAGTCGCGAAAATTACATCTACTATCTTATACACCATTTCTCTCTGTCGATGTCTTCCATGGTGTGCGTTGACGCGATAATCCTTTCAACTGCGGTCGTAAAGCAATGCCACCACAGACGGTTTTAAGAAAAGGGGTAGTATTGCCAAACCATTGCAAATCTCGCCCCGTACAGTATTTTAGATGGAGAGGTAAACTGCCCGTCATCTGCATTAGTGTATAGCAGTACTGCTAAAATGATCACATTGTATTATATACTGTCCAACTCTCTATAGCCGACTAGTGTCAACCACAACATGCGACACTTTAATAAACCACTTTTTACTGCTGTGTAACCATCGGGAGTGGAACATCTTGACCTCATGTCTAGCAATCAGACACGCTAAGATAGGCAGGTAAACACGGCTTAGGTGTAGTGTGTCATAGTTTGAAAACACTGTATCGTATTTTTATAAGGGTCGGTGATACTTTTGGAATGGTCTACCCTACTTCTGATACGGTTGGTCATACTTTGAAAACAGCTTATAATATTTTTATAAGGGTGTGTCATACTTTTGGAACAGAGTGTCATACTTTGAAAACAGCTTATCATATTTTTATAAGGGTGTGTCATACTTTTGGAACAGTGTGTCATACTTTGAAAACAGCTTATCATATTTTTATAAGGGGGTGTCATACTTTTGGAACAGTGTGT